CTGTTATGAATTGGGCGACCCCTGTGAAAAGGTCGTTAGACCCCCAAAGGGGTCGCGACCTACAGGATGAGAACCGCTGATCTATACAGACCCAAGTATACCTACAATACTCTTCACTATAACGTCCCAACTTGGATGGAAAGAGGGTTCCTTACTGCTCAGGGCATGCCTCTCTCCTGCCCAACACCATTCCCTTTTGTTTTCCCACTTACCAATTTAGAAGACGCCTCCTTGTAGCCTAATGCAAGCCTTACTAGAAAGCCAAGTGGCTACGTCAAAGAGTAACGCTAATCCATTGCAAGTGACATTAAAACCAAAAATTACATCATCACTGGTCATTACAAAGTAGCCAAATTAACGGCTACTGGTCAATCCCTCCGTCGTCACCCCAGCCCCACTAACGCCCCTGCCCCCAACCAGTTTATGGTCCCTTTAACCTTAGTGTCCCTGTCAAAGTACACAGCCCAGGAAACAAAAGAACTGGCCCTTTCTTGCACCACATGGGAAACGAATCCTCCCAAAATCTCAACAACAGGACTTTTTGCAGGCAGTTCATAACATGTTCCACAGCAGCTCATTCCCTCTTCTGCAATTCTTAAAGTCACAGCTAAAAATTACCGCCAACATACATAATGAGCTACAAAAACATCTCCATTCGTTGCCATATTCGGCAGAGTGCCTCTCTCCTGCCCAAAACCATTCCCTTTTGTTTTCCCACTTACCTATTTAGAGGACGCCTCCTTGCAGAAGACTGGCAGATTGATTTCACTCATATGCCACCAGATAAAAATTGAAATACGGTAACCTTTTGGATCTAGTAGGTACTTGCTCAGGGTAGGTTAGAAGCATTTCCAACCAAAATAAAAAAGAGCAGAGACTGCAGCCAAGAAGTTAAAGAAATGATTAATCATTTGATGCTTTGGTGTACTGCTGCCATTTCAATCAATAGTATAAATATATGCAAAATCACCCAAACCCCAACCAAAGAGCTATGATTTTCCTGGCATTTACACATTCCATACATCCACAATGCTCAGGAAAATTCCAGAGTCAATGGCATATTAATGAAACACTGTCACAAAACTATCTTCAAACACAGCAGACATGAATCACACTGTTGCCTTTTGCTTGATGAAGCTCAGAGCCCTCCCTAGAAAACCTTAAATGATCAGCCCACTTGAATTTATGTATGAAAGGACCTTGGCACCTTTTACAGTTCCCACCCAGTGCAACTTGTCCCTATGCATTACTTTAGTCAGTCAAAACAGTTCACAGCTTGCTGTGGAAGACAGGCAACCAAATCCTCAAAGCACCTATGCAAAATCCACCATACACACTAGGGCCTGGAGATTGGGTCCTATAAATAATCCTTTTAAAAAAACCTGTCAAATTCAGGTGGACAGCCTATTTCCTCCTTGGGCCACATGCACCAAAAACACCGACCAGACAAACTGTAAAAAATTGCCAGAAATAACAATGAAACTGGCAGCCCAAGTAGATCTGAAGGAATTCTTTCTCCATATAGAAAACTCAAATGGCTCCAACTCACATCCCTCAACCCAAGCACCATTTCAATGAACAGTCTAGCTTTAGCTACCAACCTTCAAATAAGAGAAAATTATACATGGTAACCTCTGCTGGTGGTTTTCATTAGACATCGGGGTCTCCCAAACACTTGATATAGCACTCCTTCCAACAGAATCCAGCGTGCCTGTCCCACTTGAAACACCATTATCAGCTTTAAGGCCCAACTATGCCATTCACCTGACTAGCCTGCTGGTAGGCTAAAGCACTTTATGCAAACCTTATCAAAAGAACTGGCAAAAACCCTAACCAAAATCTCAAAAGGAATCCAAACGCTAAAGACCCAGATAGACTCCCTAGTAGT